GAAGCGGATCCGGGACTCCTCGAGGACGGCAGCGACAGGAGGATTTGCCTGAGGGAGGTGCGCACGTTGAACGCGACGGCAGGCAGCTGTGGGCAGAGTTCAGGCAGAGCTTGCTTCAGCTGGAGCGGAGACAATAACGAGAGGGGTGCAACGGCTCCACGTCGACGAAGGCCACGACGCGGCTGTTGAGGAACCCCTAGACTGTGACGACGTTGAGGGTGACGAGGATTGCAACTCCGACGATTTGCTTGAGATTAGGCCCCTTGGGAGGAAGGTGAGGAACGACGGTGCGAGTGCGAAGAACGGTCCCACTCCGAGAAATCGACGGAATAAGAAAATGGATGACGACACCGGCGGGAGCGATGGCGAGGGCGGCCGGAATTTCTGGTCGGTCGGAGACACGATCACACTCGTGAGGGCGAAAATGGATCAAGATCTGTATATTGTCGGCATGGGGCACAGTTTCGCCCGCATGAAAACCAGAAAATGGAAGTGGGAGGACGTGCGGGCGAGGTTGCAAATGATGGGCGTCACGAGGAAGGGCGTCGACTGCGGGAAGAAATGAGACAACTTGATGCAGCCACATAATTTTAACATGAACAAGGGAATATGACTGTCTATATTTCTATATCTATACATGCTTATAAGAACAAGACTAACCAGGCATTGTTTCTAAGACGAATGGTCTGACTATAGCCTTATCACAAATTAAGAGAGTATAATTAAAAAGTTATAATTGAACGTAACTTGGGCCGGATGAGCATTTTTTTTAAGACGAATGGCTCAGTCCTACACCCGCTTTTGAATATTAAACTCAGAAAGATATATATATAATTTGGCTATTAAACAGATCAGGGCGACTAGGCATGGTTTCTGAGATGAATGATCATATGCCCAATGAAGAGAGAAGTAGTTGTGCAACTTGTTCGTGTATAACAAAGGCAAAGAGTTGGCATTGTTTCTAAGATGAATGACCTAACTCGATGCCCTATGTAAGTTGGGTATAAAGGGATAAATCATTGAAAGACTATGAACTATTGATTGCCAAGATTGACTTGGGATGGTGAGAGTACTTACCTTTGTGGTTTTGCCTGCATCTGGCTGAATGAGATTACTACTTAGTTTGAGTTCAGTTGGACAGGTAGTTGCTTTAGTTGCTCGCCACGTGCTAGAACGATTGGAGTTAGGTCAATTCTCGCATTTTCTGATTTTTTTTTTTTTTTTTTTTTTTTTTTTTTTTACTTAGATCAATTCTTGCATTTTCTGGGATTTATTCTTACACTTGGCTTTGTATAAATCTTGGCAAGTGACTTTCCCTACGGGAAGCGCTGCCGAAATTTCTGCAAATCCAAGAAGTTTGTCAAATTTTGACTTTTCAAAGCTCAATTTGTCTAAATTTTGTATATGACTTAGTATATATTTAGGAAGTCTTCCGTTCTAAGGGGAGTGTTGCCCAAATTTTTACTAAATAGGGGAGTTAGACAAAATTGGACTTTGGGGAGTCAAAGTTATCTTCAAATTCTGAACTTAGTTTTGTATAAATTTTGGAATAACACTTTTCTGGAGGGAGTGCTGCCAAAATCTCTGCAAAACCAAGGAGTTAGTTGAATTTTATCTTAGTTGTTTTTTGGGTTCGAATCTGACCTAGTATAAATCAGGGAAGTCTCCCCTTACTAAAGAGAGTGTTGCCCAAATTTCTACTAATTCAGGGAGTTAGACAAAATTTGACTTTTCATAGTTAGAGAGTATTTCAGTTTTTCGTATTTGAGCTGGTATGAATTCTGAAAAGAAACCTTTCCTACGGGAAACGCTGCCGAAATTTCTTAAGTTTAGAGGAGATAGATTATATTCGACAGGTGGCGATTCTGACGATCCACTCTGCATGGAGGAAATTTTATCAGAATCTACCTTTCTTTGGGGCACTTGCTTAAAGGTAGGTTTAAGTTTAGATAGTTAGGACGATTTTGAGTACAAGCGCGACATTGAGATTGTTTTCCATAAACTTATAGAATGAGTCTGGGGGATTGGTCTGTCTTGTGTTACAACTCCTCTTGATCGTTTGATTCAAGATCAGGATTAGAATCAACTTGATTCTACAAGGATCATCTTCTGTTATCACTGGTAACAGGTCGGTTGCCGATTCGTCGATCTACGACTCAACTCCAACTCATCCTCAATACTCAACCTAAAAGGCTTTAGCCTTGGTGATTTTTATTGTTTTATTAAGGTTTTCAGCCGGACTTTTATTGAATGGTCATTTAACAAAGGTACTGAGTATTTAATTATGGTTGGTTGGACAAGGGTTGGGGCTTGCATGGCTAAAGCGAGGGGTATGAGTGTAGAGGTTGGCTGAAGTTGACTTCGTGTAGTGCGTGAACTTTTGGTTGACTTTTTGATGTGATTGCAGGTATGTTCTGTGGTTCGGATTTCAGATTTTACTGTCTGCGATCACACATATATATATATGGATGTGAGGAGTCCCGCTATGATTGTGAGAAGTGATCGACACATACTTATCCCCCCCTTACATATATATGCGTATGTACCTATGTTGGGTGTTCTCGTGGCCTGAGAGAGCCCACGCTTAAGGGTTAAATAGGGGTTGAGATTGAGAAAAGAAAGAAAACCCCGCTTTATTACTGAATGCTTCTTAAAGATTTCTTAGTCGGACGTTGGTCGTAGGCCTAGATTCGAGGTCCGTGTCAAGGACATCCCAGGTCCTAGACTCTGCATGGAAGGGATCTCCCCCCGCGCAGAGCCTATTTGCCCTGCCTACCGGGACACTTAGCTCAAAGGCCGAAAGTGTCGCAGATACCGCAGAGCTATTTCTTCAGCCGTGCAATATCGTGAAGGGGTGAGCCTTCACGATACTTCGAGTTTGACACTTGAGTGTCATAAGCGGTACTCGGATCCACGAGGGACCGCTTGATTATGGGCACTATATAATAGGCCATCATTGCGACTGCTTGCGTATTCATGCATTACCAGTCGATATGAGTTAGCCCTACGTCCGCGCGGTTTTATACCAAGTCGGGGATATGCCCACCGAAGGGAGGTGACAACTTCCATAAGGTGGAGGTAAGTCGTACCTCGCGTAGGCCCTATCCTGTCGTAGGGGCTCACGAGAGGTATGGCTGGCGCACTCGGCCGGAGCGGCTTGCTGAAGTTCCATATGCATTTGCAACGAGGATCAAAACCAACTCCTGCGTGACGTGGCCGGGAGGGTCCCGCACTGCCTTGTGCGGTGCCGGACCGATGCGCTCGACAGGTGGCACCGCTGCCGGGGATAGCGGAAGCCTACCGTTGTCCCTGGTCGAACGACATCCGAGTGTGGGAAGACTAGGCATGAAGGAGGAAACTTTATACGAGTGTAGGATAAAGGCGTGTATGATCTGGAATGATTGTTTATGCGTGTCTATGCCATGAAGGGACCATATGGAAAGACTTAGTAGACCCAACTGAGATTGACATGGGAATGGAAGTGGGGTAGGACCTGTTAGGCTTGGACCATGGGTTAGCTATAGCAGGGGTCTGATGAGGAACGTGATAAGATCAGGTTGCTAAATGAGGTGGTGTGTTCTTCTTAAAACATGGAAAGTCGAGCAAGGACAGTCCGCCAAGATGTCGGGGGTTATAGCAGATGGCGAGGGGAAGGTCCTGACACTCGAGGACCTCATTGAGGCCATGGACAGGCGGGAAAGGACGCCAAGTAATGTCCCCAAGGTTGATACGTTCCATTTTAATGGAGAACGAGTTTCTGATTGGCTGGACTTGGTGGAGCAAACTTTGGTGGCGCTATGAGATGCGGTAAAGTTCCAGCGTATTCTGAAGTATGTGCTTCATGGCCACTACCAGGAGGTGGAGAAGTTATAAATGCGGTTAATGGTAGCTGAGCAAGGTTCAAAAACGAGATCTAGAGAAAGTATAGGCTAGGCGATGGGCTACTAACCACGGCGGATTTGGAGACCATGAACAGAGACGACTTCACCATAGTGGGGGTGTTCGTGTAGGAGTTTAAGAAAAAGGCGAGAAAGGTTCATGGCATTTCAGAGAGGCGCAGTGCGCTATTTTTATGGGGTTGCTCACCGCCTCGGAGGCTGCGGAATTGACAAGCCATGGAGGAGGAAGCGCGAAACTCACCTGGGCCACAATTGGTGAAGGTGTGAAAGAGGGAAGTTTGGACCAGGTGGAACAATATCAGATGCGCCTGCAAAGGCGTAAGAGGAAGGAGAGGAATGCCACAGCGTCTGGGACCCCAACAATGAAGAGGATCGTCAGCGACGTGCTGGCAGAGTTAGGCTATGACAAAGATGCCGTAATACAGAAGAAAGTGGTGACAGCTATTCAAGGGAAGGGGAAGGAGCCGGTGGTGGAAAAGGTCGTCCACGAAGAATGAGAGGAAGAAGAGTCAGTGCCCCAGCACCTGTTGAAGGTGCAACGCAAACAGCGCAATTTGATGTAGGGGGGCCAAGGCTCTGCGAAAGGGCAGATACCACAAGCGGTGGCAGTAACGTCGCCAAGCACTCCAAACACACCAACCCCGTCAAGTAGTGTGGGGCCTTCGCAAGTGGGGGCGCCGCCGTACGGGCAGTGGCCATGACCCATATTCAATACGTTCGTGTTATGGGGTGACCCAAATACGTCAGGGCAGATGGTACCCTATGCGGGGCCCCAAGCAAGTATGCCGCCGCCAAGCTACCCTGCGGTGCAGACCCAGCCTATGGTGCCACCTCCGTCGCCCGCGCCAAGTTCACAAGACAGTGTGGCGGGAGAAGGAGGTCAGGGTCAGGGCAGCCATGGGAATGGAGGGAGAGGCGGCGGCAGAGGACGTGGTGGGAATGGTGGCGGCCGAAGGGGACAATGGGATGGTCAGGGCGGCCAAGGTCAAGGGAATCAAGGGGGCCAAGGATATGGAAGGACCCGCTTCGACTGGAAATCCGCCATCTGCCAACATTGTGGGAAATAGGGCCACACTATTCGGTTCTGCAATATTAGGCGGGAGGATGAGAAGTCCGGTTTGATCTACTCGAACATGGCTGGGGACATATTTTATCAGTTCGGGGAGTACATCGACCGAAAGATCCCTGGTGTCGTGAGGGCAGAGGCCCACAGGAGATTGGCCGCACGGCAAGCCCCTCCTGCCACGTTCAGGTTGTGGCAGGAGAGAGATGATCCACCAATAAAGGTGGACGAGGTGGAGAGTGGCGAGGAAGTGACCCAAGGGCTGCAGATAGGGGCGATAAGGGGAGAGTCTGTGATCACTGAGTCGGACGAGGAGGATGAGAGCGAGCCTGTGGAAACCGTGTTCGTCCTCATTGGAAAGATGGCAGATTTATGGGGGAAGATGGGGAGATACCAGCAGAAGCTGATAAATATTTGCGAAGAAGTGAAGGATTGGAAGGTCGGTATCTCCTCGATGAATCTGGCCCTGAGTAGGTGCCAGGGCGGCAAGGGTACCCCGAGATGGCTACCGTGGGGTCGGACCCGCGGTCCGGAATGATGGTTAGACCCCCCACGACGCAGGGGAGGTTGGCGCAGGCAGCACGCACCAGGGGTCAGGCCAGGGCCAGCACGAGCCAGGACCCTCCACGGAAAGAGCCAGAGGCGGAAAGAAGAAAGGAGGTCATGGAGGTGGAGGATGACAACGAGGAGGATGGGCAGGATGAGAGGTTGCGCCAGGAAAAGGACCAGAGGGCGGAGCGACGGACAAAGAAGAGAGGTGCCCAGGAGGAAGCCGAGCCAGTTCTGCGCGATGCGGCGTCGAAGAAGAAGAAATACGCGATTCGGCTGGAGGAGGGGTTTGACGTGGAAAAAGTGATTGACCGACTATTGGAAGATCACAATGACCTTGTGACGTTGAAGGAAATTCTGGCGTCATCTCCTTAGCTCCGCAATGAATTGAAGGGGAGGTTGTCACGGCGGCTGGTGCCAAGCGTCCACCTAAGTATGATCCTGCTAAAAGAGGCAGAGTGGACAGAAACGGGGACAAAGATGGATTGGAAGTGCGTGG